TTTTTGAATTGAAATAACTATAAAGTTTAATAAATCACCAAATGAATCTAATCTTACGATTCTTATAATAAATGAATTGGATTCTATATTCATATAAGCTTTAAAAAAGGGAACATATTAAATTGAATAGATTCAATTAACAATAAAGAAATCAAAATCAACCACATTGTGCACAGTTAATTAGAAATATTTGTGTGCTACAACCTCTACATTTTCCTGTATAAACAAACTCTTAAGCTGAGAAAATTTATATAGTCAGACAAACAAATCGAATCTTAAAAGCAATCTCAGAAATGGCTTCAAACAAAGTATCATCGTCATCAACATCAACAACAATTACCCTAGGATTGATGTTATTGTTCATAGCTGCAGATTTTGGAGATGCTAATCTTTTACCTGCACCATCATCATCTAATTTTTGCTTCCCAATGTGTCCTAGTCCTGAATGCGACCCAAGCAAAAGTGAGTGCGAGAACACTTGCATTAGAATATGCGAGGAAATTACAAATTACTCAGCTTGTGCTGCTTGTTGCCAAATGAGGTGTGGCCATTAAAGAATGCACTCATTAGAGAGCGAAAAGCTTTATGATCTGAGCTCTTAATTATTATAGTTTATTTATGCTTTGTTTCGTTTTCTTCTATTTATTATAATCAAAATTCATACATTTATGCATAAGGATTCTTGATTATTCCCAACGTTTTCTAATTATTTACTGGGTTAAGGTGCACTTTTATTTCCGAATTATTCTCTGAAGAGCATCTAGTATCCTAAACTATTTGTCATACCAATTTTGCCCCTATAGTAAATAAAACGTAACATATTTTTCTTGACTTTAAATATCCCAATATTGACAGTTAAAAATATTGATCGAGACTTAAGTTTAACAAGAAATGTCACATGTCATGCTAGATGAGTTCAAAAGGATGTTACATTTTGGGCGAAATTGTTATATGGCAAATAGTTTAGAACTCTGAGTGTTATTTAGAGAATAGTTTAAGGGTAAAAATGTATCTTAACTTGAATTATACTATGTGTGGCATTTCAGTTAGACTTAAATTCCCAGTCAACATTTTCCACGGTCAACACTAGGGTATTCAATGTCGGGGCAAATATGCTACATTTTAATTATTTTATTGATAATTTGCCATGGCAAATATTTTAGGGCATCTCGTTTGGTATCCTGAAAATGTTTTTGATGGAAATGAAAATGGAAATAGAAATGAATATGGAAATGAAAATGAAGGTGGAAGTAAGTTTTAAAAGTATGTTTAATATGTATATGAAATTATGATATATTTTTTATTTAATATATGTATTTATATAATCAATATACTAAAATACCCTTGTCAATTTTTTTAATTATGATATACTTTTTATTTAATATATACATTTATATAATCAATTTACTAAAATACCCTTATCTATTTTTTAAATTATGATATACTTTTTTATTTAATATGTGCATCTATATAATCAATTTACTAAAATATCCCTGTCAATTTTTTTAATTATGATATATTTTTATTTAATATATGCACTTATATCATCAATTTATTAAAATACCCCTATCTATTTTTTAAATTATGATATATTTTTAATTAATATATGCATTTATATAATTAATTTACTAAAATACCCCTATCTAATTTTTTTAATTATGATATACTTTTTTATTTAATATGTGCATCTATATAATAAATTTATTAAAATACCCCTGTTAATTTTTTTAATTATGATATATTTTTATTTAATATATGCACTTATATAATTAATTTACTAAAATACCCCTATCTATTTTTTTAAATTATGATACACTTTTTTATTTAATATATGCATCTATATAATTAATTTACTAAAATACCCCTGCCATTTTTTTAATTATGATATATTTTTTATTTAATATATGCATATTTACTAAAAAACTTTTGATTTACTTCAATGTTGATGAAGGGGCAAATCTGTCAAATAATTTTGTAACTAAGGTTATTTTTGTCCAAAAAAATTCACTTCCATAAAACCCATCTCATTTTCATGGGTCTTATCATGGAATTCAATTCAACCTATTTCGATGGATTTCATTTTCACGTGGAAATGCATTTCATGCACATCAAACAAAAAAAAAAATGTGAATTGCAATTTCATTTTCATTTCCATGTCTCCATTTTCAGCATACCAAACGGGGCATAAGTGATTTTGGAAAATAGCTTTGGAGCAAAAATACACATTAATCCTTATTTATTTGAAAGAAATCGTTGGCATTTGTAATTTTATTGATATAACATAATTTTAGGTCTCTACACTTTAACCAAATTTTATTACAGATTCTTGTATTTTTTTTTTTGATGTTCTAGCAGGTTTTTATATTTTTAATTTTTAATATTTTAAGTTCCTCAATATGTGGTATTGTAGAGATCTAAACACTAAAAAATAAAATTTTAAAGACTTAAAATATTAAAAAAAAAAGGTACAAGTACTTATGCCATAACTTGAGCAAATGAGTTCGGCACATAGCTTTTTCTTTCTTCGCATTTGTTTCAGTTTCCATCTGAACGCAGCAACATGGCAATATCATCATCATCATCATCATCATCATCATCTTCCGATGAGACCAAGCACGTGGCAGTGAGTCTATGGCCCTTTGCAAGCCACTTTACGACAACTTTACTTGAATTATCCAAAACTTGTCGCTTGACTTATTCCACATTTAATTATAATATTATTTTTTTTGGCTGGAGGACACACCACGTTTATCAATGTCTACTCATAATGAATACTTTTCTTGTTTTTTTTTTTTTTTGCCAATAGTACTTTCTTGTTTGCTTTCATAAACACCACTGAAATTACATTGGACAGATTCATGTGATTTTGTTTCAACCACTATGCAGTGAATTGGGGACGACATGGCCAGTAGAATTTTATCTCATCTGAAATTTTAACGAAAAAAATTTAATGTCTATTTCATACAAGTGCCTCACTAAATACAAAAGAGAGAGCTGATAGGCATGGACTGGAAAAATCAAACAATTCGGATTTTAATTCCTTATTAATAAAAACAAGGTTAAAGTATATTCTTCATCCTTTAACTTTATAAAATATTAATTTAATTTTTTAACTTCATAAAATATTTTTTCAGTTCTCTATCCTTAATGCCATTAGCTTTGAATAATTATTTTTTGTATCAATTATTGTTATTTAGAAAAATTAAATTTAATATATCAACATTTAAAAATATTTTATATATCAATATTTAAAAAAATTTAACTTAATATATTAATATTTAAACATTTGAGTAAAGTGTAGGGACCCAAAGTTAATGAAATGGGTTGATAAAAAATAAAATGATGAGTCGATTGGAAGTTAAAAATCATGGAGAAATGAGAGTTACTATATGATAAAAAGGTGTTAATAAGGTTTAAAGATGCATGGAAGGAACAGCTTTGATAAACTTCCCATATTTCAATTTGACAACTTTTTAATTTAACTTGATAATATTCCATACTTTATAGTTGAAAAGGAAAAGTAACAATGAATTAAAAAGAAAGGAATAATAAATTTAGTATCTTTTGAAAAAAATTAAAACAAATATTAGGGTATGCAATGATCTCATAGAAAATATTTAGAAAAGAAAATTCAACCTCAACATAGTTATCTATTAAAATTAATAAATCATAAAATGAATCAAGTTCTATGGTTCCTCCGATGCATGAATTAGAAACTATAATCTTCTTCCATCTCCTAATAGAAGTTCTTAGGCAAAAAAGAAAGAGCTCTTCCTCTCTCTCGGTTTTTATTTTCTTTCTGCGTCTAGCAGCATCATCTCCTGCATCCTCCATCATTTTTTTCATTCTCAGTGTTCAATCTTCTTTTCTCCATTCATTCACAGCCACATTCACCCTTCCATTATTTACATCCACGCCACCTCATCCTTCCAAACCCCACTCTCAAATCATTATTCATTTATTATAATTCATCTCCATTAGTATTTGTTGCACAATTGGGTTGTTCCTTTTACCTCTTGATTGTTTAATTGAGTTGGTAATTTATCTAGTTGTTCAATTAGATAATTTAAACATATTTTTTAAAATTATTTTGATTTAATCATCATTGATTTTAATAGGTTTAATTTGCCTAATTTATAGTTGTTTTGATCTACTATGAGTTCTCTAGTGAATTAAGTGTTAGATTTTATATTTATGGGTTTTCTTTACTTTAATTAGGTAATTAACTTTATTAATTCTACTCTTCCATCATTTCCCTTTGGTCTAACTAATTGAATTGGGTTAAAAAAGTTAATTCCATGTAAAATCCTAAGTTGTCCCCTTTACCGCATTTGAATTAAACTTTTCTTAGTTTTTTGGTTAATTAATCCTTTTTGTCACTTAATTAATTTCTTTATCTTTCATTTCATTTTTTCTTGAAACAAATCCCCCCAATCATAATTTAGAATTTAAACATTGTGTAATAGAATTTAGTTGTTAGACTTTAGCATTAGCATCCATTTAGGTAATTTTAGTGGCATAAATTGCATTTTAGAATAGAAATCTTGAATTTAGTTTTTGAGGTTGTTTAGAATTAATATTTAAATACCTAGAACAAACTCAAGATAACTCCTAAATTGCTCCTTGAAAGAATAACCTAGGTTTGGCTTATACTATATTAAGTCAATCTTAATTTAATTGAGTGCTGAGTCAACTAAGGCAAAACATCAATGACCCTAAGTGATTTAGATGTTATTCAAATTTAAATTGGTTCTGGTAATAACTGGTTTAGATGTTTAGATGTTGATGATATCTAAACCAGTTGTAGTCATAACCGGTTTGGAAACATTGTTTTATTTTAAAAAAATTCATTTAATTTTTTCACTTAACCCGTCCATGATAGGCTGCAAACTTGCAAATTAAAAACAATATATACATCCAACCAGCCAAAATACAATCCAATTCAATCAAATTAATTGAAAATTATTTTCAATTTTATTTAATATTCAACATCCAAATAAGTTTGATAATTTTTCCTAATTCAACTACACCTATCCTAAATTCACTCATTCAATGGATTATTATTGTGAAGCTCTAACATAAATAGTCCCCAATATCTTCTAATTTCTTGGATCTCTGATTGTGAAAATGGAGATGAATCATTAAACATCTGCAAAAAAATCAAGGACAAGGAATTTAACTTAGCAATTCCAAGTAAACAAAAGATAGATTAGACCTCTAGAATTAGATTTACCTCTTCAGTAAGCTCTATCAAACCAGCCGTGATGATGTTGTACACGTGTCTCAACACATAAAAGCCACACAAGTTAGTAGGAGGTTGATGTCGGCTCTGTAGAATAATGGGAGAGGGATCTCTCCTCTTCCTTCCCATCCTCTTTCCTTCCTTTTCTTATTTCTAATAATCAAATCAAGATTTTTGATAATCTAGATTTGGTCTCCTTCAAAAAATTTCATTTTATTTTACTTTTATTGTATTTTTAAATTGTTCTTATTAAATTTTAGTAGTTTGAATTTTATTATTTATATTTTTTATAATTTAATATTTTAATAATAATTTTATAGGAAATCAAATCTAGACGGTTTAAATCTTGATCTAATGGCTAGAAAGGGAAAAGAATGGAAGAGGACATGAAGGAAGAGGAGAGAATCCATGCCCGTAGAATAACAACATTGTCAAAATTAAATTCAAAGAAAGCTCTATCATTAAAATCACGACGACATATGTTAATTACTTTTGGTGTTATCCATGTAGGATTCTTGACATCATGTAAGGTCTTGCCCAATCGAACTTGCTGGCCAATCCTCATAGCCCTATCATTCACATCACATCGTTAGTAACTTAATTACAAAAAATAATGTATTACAAAAATTCACTTACTGCTCACAAGACTTCTTCATTGCTGGATTGAGTTTATGATGTAGAGAGCATAAAAAGAGGATAGAATTGTTCTTCATTGAAAACACTATCAATTGCCAATGAGCACTACAAAAAAATAAAGTGATTTAAGCAAATATTTAATACTATTATAAATAAATTCAAACATAATTACTTACAGATGGAGAAACAAGGAAAAGTAACATTCCTTGTCACCTTCACTGAGCCTTTGATTCATGTATTCCTCTTTTGTCTCTTTGGTGGTCTCATTATCATTAGTGTAACGTGGGCAAAGAAATCCATATTGTTTATCTTTGCCTGAAGAGACCAACATTTGATATAAAAACCTATGATAATGCAAATAAGTTAGTTCCAAGAGCTCAATTGTTTAATTTCATTTTAAATTTACACTTATAATAAGATATTTACATCATCCCAATTTGAATGTTAGTCATAGTTTGGTCACCATCAATGAGAATCCGACTTAGATCCTCATTCTCAACAAAAACTTGATAGTTGTTAATGCCAACAAAATCAGGAACCGCTTTAAAAATTCTAGGGGGAAATGATCCACCATATGCCAATAGGACAAAATGGTCCCATGAACTTAGCTTGCACAATTGCATCTTTTCACCTACTTTATCAAATGATGGGGTCTCCTGTTAAATTAAAAAAGTTAGTAAAACATGCTTAAATTTAAGGAATGCATGACAATTAATCAATTTTATTACCGAATTTTGAGGCATCCTAACAAGTCTCTTTGGCCATAAAGTGAAAGTGCCCTTGGCATCTTTTACCGTCTTGATCTTATCAGTAGGGAATGGGATATCAGCATCGTCAATTTTGACCTCTTCAATGGTTACCTTGACAACATCTTCATGGATGCGACCGCGTGCTACTAAGCATTTTTTTATATTCTCCACATACAAGAAGCATTGCTCAAGGTTAGGAGTTGGGTCATCTTTTGAAGGAAGTTGAACGATGTTACTCTCTTTAGTGCTCCAATGACAAGTAAGAGAGGGGGTATGTGGGGCATTTGACACCTTCTGTGAGCTCATTTGCATTAACATTTCCTCCTTCATCTTTTGCAATCTAACTTCAAGGGTAACCTCAACCTCTGCTTTTGCTTGAGCTAACATCGCAGTCACCTCCTCCCTTGTCACAAGTCTTGAAGGATTGCGTTGACGGGGTGGTCCAAATATATCTCTTATGCTCACCCTTGATCTGATTCCTTGAACATGTCCAAGATGCTCTGGTTTCCCTATAGCAACAGTCAGGATATCATGCCTTCCTTTTGGAATGAATGATCCATCGAATTGTTTTTTATTAACCTCACTCTGTAACATATAAATAAAAAAAATTAGTAATGTTTTAGATATCACTTCAACCTTCCACTTATTTACAACAATACCATATCCTCCTTTTTCTAAACTGTTTGCACTTGACCCGATTTAGATATGTGGGTTTAAAAAACATATTTTTCTATAGCATAAATGCCTAATATAAGTATATAATAAGATTAAACTTTAAAGCTAAAGGGAAATTTTTTTTATGCCTTGTCATGAGCACAAGTCTAAAGAGAGAACCATTCTAAACCCTTCATAAATAGCTCTTTCCATGATACTAACCTCTCAATGAAAGTATCATTTGTCATGAGCATAAGTCTAAAGAAAGAGTCCATCTCAAAAGACTAGCTTGTTAGGTAGAAGAATCCTTTAAACTTATAAAACTCATTTATCTTGTGAGGTTTCTTGAAGTGAGACTCACGACAGTACCCGTCGTAACTTAAACTTATCTTAATTCTAAATCTTCATCTTAATCTTAACACAAGCCTCCTTATTGGTAACATTCAAGAAAGCATTGGGCTCCTCATAAAACTATAATTCCTCAACCTTTCTACAAACCGCTTCAAAGGCAATTTACCTCTTTACCTTCTAACTTGATTCAAGTTTATGAGCTTGATGTTTCCTATAACAACATAATTGGGACATTAGACCCTTGTCTTTTTTCTTGATGCTTCTAATCAACCTAAGACTAGATTGATTAAGATCAAAAGTCTTATTTTCCAAAATAACAATCTTGGCAGTAGAATTTCTAATGAAATGGGGAATATAAGAAATATGAATGTGCTAGCCTTATATAATAATAACTTCAATGGACCTATTCCTCAATCACTTGGGAACTATAAACATTCTCAGGATGTTTGAAATTAGGGTTGGCAATACAAGCTAGGCTTAATGGGCTACCCATTATAATTCATTTTTACAAGAGTTTAGGTTTGGAAGGGATTTTTAATATAATAGGGTTTCTAAGCCGGCCTTATTAAGCCCTTAAAAAGGGGCTCGGACTTGGGTAGCTTATGTAATACTCTAAAATTTCAAACTTATTTTTCACAAATTAATAGTTTAATAAACCAATTTAATAACATTGAACCCTTACCATGATAGGGAAAGAGTTTTCCTTATAATAAAAACTTTTTGCAAATAATCTACTATCAAAGTATTTATTTACTAAGTGCTTCAAGTACACCTTTATTAAAATTTCAAAACTATGGTTGGGTAACCAACACTTTACAAACCATATTTTTACTATCAATATCAACTCTGGCCCAAAAAATACTTTTCCACACACTGGTTACCATACCAATAAAACTACCACATAGGGTTACACTTGATCACAGTATTATTTCACAAATGCCACAAAAAATATACATTCTTAAAACATGCATAATTGCATAATTATATATTTCTATAATCCAATAAGACTATAAGGGGTAGACAGGAGTCTTATGGTTATCAATTAAGCAATATAGATGCAATTCACCAAAATTAGAGTCTACATGCTTTATAAAATATATTTGTCTTAGGTTAGCAAATTATACATTGCACAATCAAAATAAAGAAGCTAAATTAAAAAATGGTGTCTTATGCATTAAATCATGCTTCAGGTACTTCTTTAGTCGAACTTGTTCCTATAAAATTTAATAACAATAAGGAATGAGACTTAAGAGTCTTAGTAATCAAGATTAATACATAATAATGCATGTGAGTCAGTTAATCATGCGATTGCAAAGTGGGTATATGATATTCAATCAACTAGACAAAAATAGTTAATGCATAACATCACCTTTTTTCCTTCCATCTCCATGCTATGAATTGAGTAAGCTAGCCAAAGATAGATTGGACCAAGTTAATAGCAATTTATTGGGTCCAATAAGGGCTTACCATGTGGTAACTTAATTAGAAAAAACCCCTACTAAACAATATTCAGTACACTCTGAGAACTTATGCATTTATAATAAACCAGGTAAAATTAGTATCAACCAAATAAAAACACAACTAGACAATTTATCTCTTGCTTTTAGCAGTGTCAATATTTACAATATATATATATATATATATAAATCAAACTCACTTGGTAATTATTTTCAAACAAATATATATATATATATATATATTATTTCTTAACAAAAATCAAGATATTCTGAACAACAAAACAAACACACAATTAACCACACACACACTATACCACACATTAATAATAATTATCTTGTATCTTGGACAACAAATTTCCCTTTTGTTAATGCTATGCTCATAGGACTTTGATCTCTCCTCTCCCTGCTCTCTAGACACCAAAAACATTCAGGGATTTGATAAGTTATGACCTTATATAATATCAAGTGAGGAGTTAGGTGAGGAATTAGGTGAGGCACATGTGTCACCTAATCTCCTTTTTTTATGTTACAACTCTTCCCTCCTAATAGAAATTTTATCATCAAAATTCAATTACTCTAGAAACCAAACAAACAAAACCTACTTATTGGAATAGGTGTGAGTATTGCTACTTCATTTTGTCCTTGATCTCCCATATAACATCCTCAAGAGTTATACTCTTCCAAACCACCTTAGCCATCGAATGGTCTTGTTCCTCAGTTGTTTATCCTTAGTATCCACAATCCACTCTGGTTCGATCTGATAAGTCAAATTCTCTCTTAGCTCGACATCCTTAACTTCAATGATGTGAGACGGATTGAGTTGGTATTTTTTTAGCTGAGATACATGGAACATGTTGTGCACACCAACCAAGTGTAGTGGTAAGGCAATCTTATAGGAATAGGAGTTAGAACTCAAAGAACTCAAAGTAGGAGATCATGTATTTTTGAGAGTTTCTTTAGTGATAAGCATCGATAGAACCCTTAAGGCAAAGAAGTTTGTGCCTAGATTTATGAGCCCCTGTGAGATTCTAGAGGAAATTGGATAGTAGCCTTTAGGATTGCCCTACCACCATACTTGGCTAGTATGCACAATGTGTTGTATATATCTCAGTTGAAAAAATACAAACCTGGTCCATCTCACATTATTGAAGTTGAGCATGTCTAATAAAGAGAGAATTTGACTTATCGAACTAAACCAGAATGGATTGTGGATACTAAGGACAAACAACTGAAGAACAAGACTATTTGATAGGTTAAGGTAGTTTAGAGGGGTATGACTCTCGAGGATTCCACGTGAAAGATCAAGGACAAGATAAAACAGTAGTACCCATGCCTATTCCAATAGGTAGGTTTTGTTTGTTTTCTTTGTAGAGTGATTGAATTTTGACGACAAAATTTCCATTAGGAGGGGAGAGTTGTAACATTTAAAAAGAACAAGAAGGGGATTAGGTGACATATGCATCTCATCTAATTCCTCACATAATTCCTCATCTAATTCTCACCTAATGCTATATAATATGATAACTTGTCAAACCCCCAAGCATTTTTGGAATCCAGAAAGAAGGGAGAGAAGAGATCAAAGTTGTGAGAGCACAATACCAACGGAAGGAGAATTTGCTATTTAAGACAAAAGGTAACAATTGTGATTAGAGCACAACTCTGATCTCTCCTCTCCCTTCTCTCTGGATGCCGAGAGTGTTTGGGGGTTTGACAAGTTATCATCTTATATAGTATTAGGTGAGGAATTAGGTAAAGAGTTAGGTAAGAAAGTAGGTGAGGCACGTATCACCTAATCCCCTTGTGTTTTTTTTTTTGAATGTTATAGCCTCATTTTTATTTTACATTTAAAAAATAAAATATTTAAAATTTTAAATTAAATTTAGATTTTAGAATATATTTTTATATAGTAAAATTAAAATTTTTACTGCTTATTTTTAATTTTTGAATATTATAATTTATATTTTAAAAAAACAATATAAAGTATAATATTATAATGTAAACCTTAAATTTTTAAAAATGTAAAAGAATCTTAAAAATAAAAAATACTTATGGCCTGGTGATAAATGATAATTTTATATATTTTTATCTTTTCAATTTAGACTTTTAAATATTTATTTGAGGCTAATTAATTTTAATTAAATATTATTTAATTTTATTAGCCAATATTTAGTTTTGAGATTTTAACTAACTATATATTTAATTTTAAAATATAAATGATATCTTTAATATTTGTGCACAGGTGCTACTTAATTTTATTTTATTCGTGCAAATTTTTTAGATTCAATTTAGAAGATATTGATAAAGTATATTTTGAATAAAATTTTGTTTAGATTTATTTTGAATTATTTAGTATAATTTTTAATTAGGGCTATTTAGAATAATTTTATCATTGTATTTATTAGCTTTTCTTGGCCGTACGGAATGGCATTACTTTTGTATATATAAAAGTGGAACGCATGCATCATGGAAGGAAGAACCGAGAATGATCACTCTTCATCTTCTGATTCCGTTCTCCAATTCTTTTAGGCGATGGCCTCTCTTTTTTTTCACAGTATACTGTTTGATTTTTAGTTTTATGGAGAATTATATTTTTAACGTGATCAATCACAAACTATGATCCTAAATTTTAATTAAAGTCTTTAATATTTAAGAAAAATTTTATTTCAGCTTTATTTTAATTTTTTCTTCTTCTCTCTACCTCTGAATTTTATGTTTTAACTGTTATTACTGATTAGAGTAGCTTTATTACATAATTTTTGGGTTATAAATTTTATCTGAGATTTTGCTTGCTATAATCGATTGATATATTAACATAAGAGTAATTTGGCCTAGCTTTGGTGATTATCCATGCTTTGTTTTGATGTGGCTAACATAAAATAGTTGTTAGGTTGTGAGTTAAGGGAAATTTTAATTAATCTATAACTTAATTTTTTGTTTAATTCTTGAATAATAATTTGAGAAATATATAATAAAACCAGAATAATAAAATTAAATAAAATTAATTTAATTTGTGGATGAGGAATATTAAATTTAGGTGATTGGGTTGTGATTAATTGCGCTGCTTATTCTTGATAATTTTTTTAGTTGAATTTTCTCTATATATTTATTTTTAATTTAGTTTTTAATTTCATAAAAAAAAACCTCATTATTTACCTTTGCATAATCATAATTCAAATAATTACTCTATTAACTTTTAAGAAAATGACCTAAGTTACGCTTTATAGCAAAATCTAATTTTTATTAATTTTAGTGTTATTTGACAATAATATCATCTGGCCTTGAGCTTGATTAAATGAAGACCGGTCTTGAAAAGGTAACCAATTTTATACTAACAGAACTTTCGGGCGCGAGCCCATATGAGCGAGCTTGTCCGTTTACTGATTCTAATCTGATTGTGTTTCCACACTAATCATTTGTATGATAATGTACCACAACAATTTGGAAACTTTTCCTCTGTAGTTTTCTTTCATTAGCTCGAAATAACTTCACCGGAAGGCTACCACCAATACAAATGTGTAAAGATGGAAAGCTTGTCAGATTTTGTGCTGCCTACAATAACGTCACTGGTACAATCCCTATAAGCCTAAGAAACTGTTCATCCTTATCTATGATTCAGCTTGAACATTATCAACTAACAGGTTATGTAGATCAAGATTTTGGAGTGTATCCCAATCTGACTTGCATTGACATCAGCTACAATAGGATGCAAGGTGAACTTTATCCTACTTGGGCTGCCTGCAAGAACTTGCAAGATCTTATCATGGCTGGAAACTCAACAGGTGGAAATGTTCCTGGCGAGATCTTTCAATTGAAGCAATTAAACATCTTGACTTGTCTTTCAAGTAGATATCTAGCAATATTCCTCCACAGATGGAAATGCTTCAAGCTTTGTAAGTTATCATTTTTTTAAAAATCATACCAAATTGGACAATCGGGCTGAATGGACTATCCATTGAAATCATTAACAGCTTAGTTTTAACCAAGAAATTATTTTTATGGTTGACCCAGGTTGCACTGGAGTTGAATCAGAACCAGAATAGTTTTTAAAAAACTGATAGTTCTAAACATAATATTAAAAATAGCTTAAAATTTTTAAAAGCTAGAAAATTTTAAAAAATTAGATCCTATTAAAAACCAACTTTATTTGTGGACCCTTCATATGTATATAATATGAGTTGAAACCATTTTTTTAAAAAAAATATTGACATCTATAAGTGTAAATGTAGATACTTTTGATTCTATTCATACATAATTTAACTAAGATTCACCTATATTTGATAAATTATAAAATTATAATTTATAATATTATTAATTTATTATCTTAGTTGTGTATTTTATTAAAAACTAGACATATTATAGATTTATTTTTTATAAATATATATGTTATAGACATTTAATATTATTTTTATTTAATTTTAATTCTTATCATCGATTTCACTGTGGTATGATCAGTTAGACCATAAAAATCAAGAACCATTGACTTTTCTTGTGCAGTATTCAATTCAGCTTTTAAGACCTCCGTATGAGTAGCAACAGTCTTTCAAGTATATACATAAAAGCATTGGAAAGCTTTCTAATTTGGAGTCTTTAGACTTATCAATGAACAAGCTAAGGGGACCTATTCCTTATCAACGAGGTGATTGCTACAAGTTATGGAATTTAAAGTTGAGCAACAATGACTTCACTTGCAAAAAGTCCCATGCCAAATTGGAAATGTTCTGTTCTTACAAGACTTTTTGGAGACTTGAGTTAGAATTCACTTTTTGGAGAAATCCCCATGGATCTCATTGAACTCAATAATTTCATAAACTTGAGTATGTCTCACAATAATTTGTCAGGTCCTATTCTAGTGGCTGATGCACATACAAATGAGGGTGGGCAACTTGAAAAAAATTACAAGGAGTAGGTGGAACTTTTAAAAATTTGCCCCAATTGTCTTAATAGTTTTGAACCCACTAAATCTTAACTAAAATAAGTTCTAGTTTTAAAAAAAATTTAGTCATTTATATTTCACTTAAACCCAATAGATTTTAAATTTTGAATTTATTATTTATAAATTTAAATTATTTGTATAATATCATTTTAATTTTTATTTTCTAACATTATTTTATGAAACTAAATATTTATTATATATATATATATATATTAAATTAATAACAAGAATTTATGTGGGAGGATCCATGGTTTGAAACCTTGTAATATCTCTACTAGAAAACCAAAATGGTGGAGGTAACAAACAAAATATTGTGATAGTTGTTGCAACTTCTTTGGTAGGTGCACTGGGATTTTTTGTTGGGTGTATTTGGGACTTCTGTTGTTTGCAATGAGAAAACTCAAGAACGTTTGTATCCAAAAAAACAAAAAAAACACTAGGGCCCATAGAGAAAATCCATTCTCAATATGGCACTTTGATGGCAAAATACGTATGATGACATAATTGAAGCAACTGACCACTAAAAGTTTACAAACTGACACTGCAAGTGGATAAAGTATTTGCCATAAAAAAGTTTACATGTCAAGCATGTGACTTTGGGCTTGTTTGTTTAAAGTTAAAAAATAAATAATTTTTAAATAATTTAAAAAATTTATAAAGATAGATTTATTTTGTAGAAACTTGTATAAAAATCATATATATTTTATGTTTAGTTATAATAATAAAAAGTAACCATTAGTTAGATATTTTTATATTTTATAATTTCTATCTTTGTTTTATATAGGATTGCCTCGTATAAGAGGCAATAAAAAATATTTGATATTTAATTATTTTTTATATTTTCATGTAGCATCTCCATTTTTTTTATAACATTACCTCTAATCTATTCGAAATATCTTTTCAAAATAATTGGATTTTTTTATTTTTCAGATTCTAATTATTCTTAAAAGTTTAAACAAATAACATAAAATTGCTCAAGATAGATTTAAAAAAAAATAACTGATTTTTTCATGAAAAAACTTAAACAAACAAGCCATTGACATTCTGAGTATGAAAGCTTTTAGCAGTGAGATCAAAGCTTTGATAGAAACTCGACACCAAAACATTGCGAGTTTGCAAGGATTCTGAACAGAAAGATTACATACATTTTTTATTTGTGAATAGTTGGAAAGAGGGAGCTTAGCTTGTATGGTTAGAGATGATAAAGAAGCCCTTGAGTTGGATTGGCCAAAGAGGGTTAATATTATCAAGGGTGTAACACAAGCTTTATCTACCAATTGCTCACAAAGACATATCAAGCAAAAATGCTTTATTGTCTGCAAATCTTGAAGCCCATGTTTCAGACTCAAGCATCAAGATTGCTGAAGCCTAATTCATCAATTTGGACACAATTTATTGGCACATATGGCTATGCTGCTCCTGGTGAGTTCTATATTGTTAACAAGTTTCCCAAGTTTGTAAATCTTAATCATCAATTTGGTTCTTCTATTTTAATTTTTATTAGTTTTGTCTCTTGAATTTACTTCGGTTATTGATTTAGTTATTATTGTTTAAAAAGAAAGTTATACAGTTGAAATTCACTAACATGGATAATGGAATATTGATGTTAGCCATGTCCATTAAAGAAGATAATATAATGATTTGTGTAGAAAAAAAATAGACTCTGAAATTAAAAAAAAAAAAGAGAATAATACACAATGTAAGAGATTATATTAATAAAAATTAAATTAATTTGAGAGTTAATTTATTCTCAATTAGCTACATATACTCGTCAAGTCACTAATATGCTTTATACATTAGATTATTTTGAGAGTAAATTTATATTTTAAAACTTAAAAAAATTACATGATAATTTAAGAAAACATAAGAATCAAATTGTTAAAAATTAAGCTAGAGAGACCAACTCGATAATTGAAAAAAAATTGAAGGATTAAAAGTTTCATTATCCTTTATATTAATATGATTAGTTTTGAATCTTGTACACTTCTAATTGTAAATACTAAATCATCATCACTTCATTTTGGCTTATGTAGAGCTTGCCTACACAATGATACTGATCGTGAAAATTGATGTCTAAAGTTTTGGTGTTTTGGCTCTTGAGGTGCTCATGGGAAAGCATTTGTGTGATTTACTGTTTGATTTCTATTCTCATTTATTTTTTTTAAAAACCGTTTTATAATACAGTTTTTAAAATTATTTTTTAAAATAAAATAAAAATTTATTTGGCTATATCAATTAAAAAATAATTTTAAAATTAAAAAATAAATTGATAGTGATAGTTATAAATAGTTAATAATAGTTATTAATAATAGAAATTGATCAATGTAACTATAATTTTTAATAATTAAATATAGTGTATTTTAAAAATAAGAAAAATAAAATGAAAACAACTTAAAGTTGTTTTTATTTTTAAAAAAAAACAAAAAAAAAGTTTTGAAAACAACTAAATGAAAAACATTTATTCAAATAAATTTTTAAATTTTTTTATTTTCAAAAACAAAAAAAAGCTTTTAAAAATAAAAAACAAACAAGCCTAGAGCCTATTTGGTTTCTATTCTTATTTTTTGTTTTTAAAAATCATTTTATAATACAGTTTCCAGAATTGTCTTTCAAAACAAAATAAAATAAAAATTTTTTTGGTTATATCAATTAAAAACAATTTTAAAATTAAAAAATGAACTGACAGTGATGGTTATAAGCAGTGAATGGTAATGATTAATAATAAAAATTAGTCAAGATAATTATAATTTTTAACAATTAAATATAACATATTTTAAAACAAGAAAAATAAAAGCGACTTGAAGTTGTTTCTATTTTTTTGTTTTTAAACACAAAAAAGAATAGTTTTAAAAACAATTAAATAAAAAACACTTATTTAAATAAGTTTTAAATTTTTTTTGTTTTCAAAACAAAAACAGTTTTTGAAGGCAGGAAACAAACTGGCCCTTAATATCTCTTCCTCAAACAAATGGGACTCACCAGATGAACTTACAAGATAATTTAGACTCTCGTTTATCATCAACAAAGAAACAGGACTTGAAGAAATTGGTTTTTCATCTGGCATCTAGCTCTTTAGTGCTTACAAACCAACCCTCAATCTGGACCAACCATGCAAAATGTGGCCCAAAGGATTGAAATAGAGACTACTCAAGAGACATGATTGATGTATGTTTTTAAGCACATGTTATAGACTCTTCTGTGATATACATATATAAAGGGTTATTGAGTAAATTGGCTCATGAAGTTTAAGTTCAGAAGTGTTTGTGATCACAAACTCTTCTTTAGTATCATGTTTCTCTTCAACTCTAAAAATAGTACAATTTCACTCTTATCATTAACAATAATTAACTTTAACCGTTAATTGATTAGAAAATAACATAAAAGAATATCAAAAAATACAAAAAAAAAAGAATAATAAAATTTTCTTAGATCTTTTCTATAATTTTTTGGATCATTTAACATAATTTGTGAGGTCTTTTTATGTTATTTTTTAGTAAACTAATGATTAAAGTTAACTTTTGTTAACGTTATAAGTCAAATTGTATCATTTTCAAAAGTTAAAGGAGAACATGACAACATCTAACAAAAATAAATCACTTACTTTTATACTAAAAAATCCATCCTTTACTTTTCCATCTTCATTTTTCCTCTTCTTTTGCCCTTCTTTACTGTGTATCACTTCACTTACTCAGTCTGCTGTTCTTTTCTTCCATTTTAGGTGCTGCACATATAGAAACTACATCAGAGAAAAACATTCAGAAAGTGAATCTGCTTACCAGGTCCATTTGCCTCAAGGCGTCCTCATGATTCCAAGACTTCTTTTGCAGAGCTAAGAAACACAATATTTGCAATTTAGAGAGAAAAAGCATGTCAGCATCTGGTTGGCTCCGATTTAACGAGTCAAGACTAAGTCACATTAAGATTTAGTGTATCGGGGGTGTGAGTAAGAGAGAAATAAGGGCTATTAACTGTATGTCTATATTGATGATGAACTGATGATGATTCTTTATAATTGCATTATTATTTTATAATAGACAAAGTACAACTACTATAATTATAATAACCAAGTCGCCTGAATGAAACAAACTAAATTCTGTTATCACATTACAAACAATGGCTGTATACATAAATACAAAACTAGTATGGATGGATTCAATAGAAATTAATAGCCTATTAAAAATCTGACCAATTACTATTCACCCCTGAATGAAACACGGAAAAACATGAGAAATAGATAGACAACAAAGGTTGAGATTTCACAAACGAGGTCGTTTTCCACACAAGCTAATAGAGCTAACTTTCATGGGAGTTGCCACAACCAATGGAGATCCTGAAGAGTCACTATCAGCAAATTTGTCATGCATGAATCGAGATTCTACAATTGACTCATCCTTCACAACTATCATATAACAATAACAGCTCTTAAGCCCTTGCTGATTTCTATAACATTCATGAACACTGTTCTTCACCTGCTGAAAACTCCATATCACACTAAACTTACCCGCAGTTGCAACAAGGTGACGCTCCTTTATGCCATTCTCAGTAACCTGAAAGAGAAAAGAAATTACAAATATATGCAGTACTTGCTGCAAGTTTACTCACAAAACTACCCTGTAAATTTAGAACAAGTTCAAGCCTGTTGGTCTGCCACATTGCAAGCAGAGTAACAAAGTATCTGATTCAAGCTACAAATTTCAACAGATTTGAACTATTTGATTCACTTAATATGCAACATAAGCATGGTACTTACATATTAGAATTTAGGACCCTATCCACAACATTTAGTTCTAAAAGTTACTTACTAAGGTTAATCAAATGAATCCCATTAAACATGTGCATACATAATACATTGGACTGGTAAAAAAAGACCAATCAGTGGCAAACTGTTGAGCCGCCGGTAGGAGTCAAGCTTGACAAGCTATCATATTAGGCCTATCTTTATAAGTCCACCCCTAAGAGTTCAAGCTTTGGCTAGCCCTTCATCCCTTATAATTTTTTTTTTGTAACTTTTTTTTAATAGTTTACTTAAAGCTTTGAATTAATATAAGAAAATAACACAATTTGTTGAGATTTTATTTTAGGTGATAAAAATGAAGTCACCGATGTTGAAACAATACCACCTAACCACCTCCTCCAAATAAACCTTTCTTGGAAGATGTAATGTTTTATTTTTAAATGAAGATTGATCATAATAATAACTGAAGAATATTTATATTTTAAATATTTAATTAAGGTATTTTATAATTTACACACACACTAGTATAATAAGAAATTTTAATTAAAAAAAGTTATACAGGCTTTTGGGCTTGGCTTGTCAATGAGAGCTGGGCTTGAAAAAAAAAGTGTTAATTTTAGAATAAGAGGGCTTGTGGGCTTGAAGATCAAGGTTGGGTCTATAAATTATAGGTAACTGCCTAGGATTTTTTTTTTATTTTTTATTTTTGATCTGCTACTGGCTAGGATTTTATCGCAACAGTTGCATAATCTAATAATAAAGCAGAAAATAATTACCCAAGAAAAATGGCCACCATGAAACTTATTGTTTATGGCAGCTAGATGTGAATCCTGAGGAGACAACTTCAACAGTCTCGGCATTCTTCCCATGAATCCATCTTCCGTTTCCCCATCTTTAGCCGTGTGTAAGTTGCAAATCAGTATCAAATAAGTGTCAGTAGTGCCTAGCACCCACCTGCCATCATAAGTAACATCAACATGGGTGATAGGAGAGCCTAGCCCAGGAAAAATAGTCTTTGATTGCCACATTGATGTCTTTGAATACAACCGTATTCTTCCATCAAGAGACCCTACAAATATTGAACCATCTCCAGTAGTTACAAAGCACTGAAAATTTGTTCCTCTAGAGAATAGATAGCCATGGTTCCAATGCAACACTGGAGAATTTTGAACCATTCCTTTCCCGTCACGCATATCCCATTGACAAATCATATTATCAGCTAATCCCAGAAATGTCGAATTGGAAGGATCCAATTGTGATCCCTTGGTATCATTTGTGATATCCCTCATAGTGATATCGACTCGATCCTTCTCAAATTTCCATTCATTGACAATCTTAGCAGTCTCGAGATCAAGCTGGTGAAGACTTGACGCGTGTGGTCTTCCTTTCTTCATTGGACTCATCAGCAGCATATCAGTTTCTGCCCTCATCAATATTGCTTTACTTGCCGCTAATTGGTCTGAATTCGAACTTCCAACCAAATTACTACCATCAAATTTCACAGACACACCATTCCCATAGATCCCACGGCTAAAATTTCGGTAAACTTGAATCCCTTTGTCATTCACCAAGAAACTATGATCAAGAGCACCCAATGTCAGGCTCACCACTCGCCCATCAGTAGCCTCCTCAAACTCCTCCATGAAGTCCTCGTAAAATTGATTCACCAATGCTTTGGATCTGGATTTGGGGGACGACTTAGCGTCGTTATCGTTATCATGCTCTTCTTCTTCGCAGTCGTGTTCTGGTCTATCGTCTTCTTCGTACTCAGAGTCGGAGACATCGAAGCCCTCGCTACTCTGAGAAGCTCCCATCGGCGATGAATTTGAGAGAGAGAGAGAGATCGAAATGACTTGGCTTGGCTTTTGATGTTGCGTATGCAGTTTCTAATCATTAACTTCGGCCTTTTGAGTTTGTTGCTTTTGGCGCTCATGTGGAGGGTGACATTCATAGCTTAACCGCGAAGCTTTGAAAGACGCTCCTCTATTTATATATATGTGTGTGTAATAATATTATATTTAGTAATTGTCTCACGATCTTATGGACTTCAATAATATGCTTTTATTATGTAAATAAGGAAGGGAAAATAACAGTTAAATCTTAAAAAGAAATAATAACAGTTAAGTCTCAATAATTTTTTTTTAAAAAATTAATTATAAAAATTTTAATTGTAAATACGATACTTAAATTTTAAATATAATAATTAATTTGCAATTTAAATTTTTATTTATAACTGTTTAAATTAATATTTATAATTTATTTTATAAAATTTTTTGTCAAAAGCTTAATTTTCATTAGTTTATTCTTTTGTGACTTTAATGACAATCTCCCAATAAAGAAACTAAAGGCACTCTTAGTTATTTCCTTGGAATAAAAGAGTTATGATTGAGTTATTAATTTTGTCTAGAAAATAAATTTTTAATTTTATTTCTATTTAAATAAAAAATTTTAAATTTACATTACATTTTTTTTCATAGTTTTTTTTTATTATCACATTCTTTATCATAGTTAATGAGCTTAAATATTGATAATACAAAAAAATGTAATTAATATCCTATCAAATCTTATATTAAGGATAAATTTTTTTTTTTATATAGAAAGCATTCTATAATAAAATCAGGAAGGAGTGTTAGCAGTATGTGAGAAATAAAAGAGAATTTAAGGAAAGGAAGAATCATTTCACATCAGTTTTCACTTAGATGCATATGAATGGAAACATGCACACAATATCTTTAATTAATCCTCTTGTTAAAATTTTATTATAGTCCTTAGCTATCGAAGACTGTTATTTCAAGAAATATAATGTATTTTATATGGAATGTGAAATGTACATAATTTTTCAGAACCCAAGTTCATCTAAATTTACATCTAAATCTATAATATATTGTAAAAGCCGTCGGATGGAAACTATAAATCTATAGTTCCCATCTAGCTTTTTTATTTTTAATTTTTTCTTTGCTATCGGATGGGAATCTTATATGTATTGTAGAATTTTTTTTACTTTTTAATTGTTATTGGATGGGTACTATATCTGACTTTTTATTTTTTTACTTTTTTATTTGATAATTTCTTTAATATGATATAATTTTAAAAAAAAAAGTAAAGAACAATTAAGCACTTTAGTAAAAGAGATACATGTGAGACCTATAAAAAATAAATTATTAATGTAAAACTTATAGTAAAATATTTTGTCTATTTATATCTTAATCAATGATATCTCGCAATACTTATATAAATATTTTTTAATATAGATAGTTATAAAATACAAGCCTTTCTCCTATTTTTAAGATTTTATTTTCATCCACCTAATCATTAGTTGATAGTTAAGTCATGTGTATTAGACTAAAATACCTCTATTTAAATATAAATTTTGTCTAAAAATCATTTAAATTATCAAAAAATTAATTTTTATTATTTAAATGTATTTATTTTATAACTCTTTTAAAAAATTAAATATATAAATTGGCCAAAAAAAATTCAAAGACACAGTCTATGGACTCGATAAAGAGAAAAAAATAAAATAATTTTTAATAATTTAGGATAGTTAAACCATCCTAAATAAACTTAAAAGTTAGAGATGTTAATAGTCAGGCTCAACTATAAATTTTTATATGTTTAGATATTTTAAATTCAATATAAATTGAGGCTTTAAGGGGAATGAAGAGAATGTAAGATTTTAATAAACTTAATATTTTAAAAATTGGAGTAGTGTGGTTTAAAAAAATTTGTGTAGGACCTACTATCAAAAATGCTAGTGGAGATATACATTTATAAATTTTAAAAATTTAAACAAGGTGTAAAAAATAATAAGATTTTTATATTTTGAGAGATCATGTATGATTCATAATACATATTGATGGCAAACATAAGATTTTTAGTAAAAATAATAAGTATTAGATATGCAAAGAAATTACCATTGGTTAAAAATGATTGTGAGACCTATAATTTAATTAATAAAATTTATTCACGTTGGATGAAAAACATGTGTCATATAAATTTTTATTTATAAATGTTAAAATTTTAGATATGGTGTAAAAAACAATGTGATTTTTATATTTTAAAAAATCATATGAGATTCATAATAAAAATTAAAAGTGGATATAAGATAAAAATAAATTTTTATATATTTATTATTAACACAAGGTAACAAATCAAAATAATTTGTATGAGCATATATACAATAAGTTTTTGTTTATATTGTTCAAATGCATAAGGTATACAAATATATCTTATTATATTATTTATATGTAAAAGTTGATTATGGTTTAAATACTTATAAAAATATTCATGTAGTTATATGCCTTAAGTGCAAAAAAAAAAAATTTATAGGCTACAAGTTAAATATTATATATAATTAATGATTTTATCTTCCATTGCACTCCTAATCTTTTCTTAATAATCATTGTGTTACTTGCAATGGCTGTACATATGATTGACAAATAGTATTAAAATATGGATTATATTGTTTGCTTGATTTAGAACCATTATAATTATAATTTATAAATAATATTATTACATAAATTATAGTACGATTCATTATAGTATATGTTTCATCCTTAAAGTGATATATAGGGCAGCCTATTTTGAAAAAAAAAAACAAGCTAGATTATATTTTAAATTACAAGAAGTGAGAAATTTAAAAAGAAATAATGGTAATTTTTAAAGATGTATAAGAATAGGTATCATCCTATTAATTTTTAGTTTTAATCTTATACTTGTTAGCTGTAGGGATACTTTTCTTGCTGGCTGTAGGAAAGTTATTTCTTAAATTTTTAACTTACACAAGATAATACGTTTTAAAATAAAATAAGTTATCATTTTTAATACAATTAGGAATATTATGTTAAATATTATGAAATATTTAATTTATTATTTGTATTTATGTGGAAAAAAATTAAATTGTTAATTTATCATTATAATTTATTTATCTATCCTCTCGCTTCCTAATTAATGGAATTTCAAACAATTTTTTACCAAAAAAATTTTAACAATTAAGTATAACAATAATTTAAAATATTTTATTAAAATTATAAAATTTAAATAAACATAAATATAAAATTATGTTGACTAATTTATCTCTTATTCCATTAATTTTTTTCCTACACATGTGTTTGAAATATTATTTTAATAGACTTACTTCTTTTGTTAAAATGTGTTTGATTGGAGGTTTTTGGAGGGGAGGGAAGATGCTCCCCTTATTTGATTAAGAAATTTTGGAAGAGAGGGGAGCTAAAATAACCCCTCCCCTCCCCTTCCCTCCCCTCCCCTCATGCTACTTCTCTCCAAATTAGGATTTCTTATTTAAAGAGAAGTTAATTTTTTTTAACCATTTTGTCTTTATTTAATTTTAAATATTCTAAGTATATTCATAATTAGTTTTTTTTTCATATCAAATTGTGTTTCACTCCCAAATCTCCACTGACCTCATTGATTGTTTTTTTAAAAGTTATGTGTCATCATATTTTATTATATATTTAGTTATTTATTTTTTATAAAAAATTATTATCATTATAATTATTGGTTTAACTTTTTTCACATACTAACAATATGAGAGGATGAGAGTGAATTTTTAAAAAATCATGTAATTTAAATTGAGATGTAAGATTATTTTCAACAAGAAAAAATTTTAAAAAATTAAACTAATATATAAGAATATAATAATAAATTAGTTATTACCTCTCCTCCCCTCCCCTCCTAAACCAAACAAAGAATAATTAAATTTTTTTTAAAAGTATATTAAGAATGGTATTTTAGTGCAACATACATGACTTAATTGTCAACCGATGATTAGGTAGATGAAAATAAAAACTTAAAAGTAGAAGACATATTTGTATTTTATAACTCTTAACTATTAATTTTAAGAGGAATTTATATAGATTTTAAAAATAAAAAAATCTTTATAATTAAGATAAAATAAAAGAAAAGGTAATATATTTTATTTTAAGAATATTAAATATTTTTAATATTTTTATTTTTATTTTTGAAAATGAAAACATTCCCGTGAATCTCACGGGTATAAATCTAGTTAGATGCAATGGAAACATTATTTTTTGTCAAAAAAACGTGAAACATTATTCTAGATTCATGAATACGGAAAGAAAATAAAGAGATGATCCCTTTCACCGAGGATACAATCAAGAAAAGTCATGTTTGTTACCGTGGAATAGGAGGTAATAGAATGAAAATGATAATAGGAAAAGCCCATTACCTGATAAGAGTGGCTATTTCAATAAAGACTACCTTCCAATATTTTAAAAGCCGAGTTGTACGTTGAATTGAAAAAATCAGTTGGCCTTAGTTTTTATGAATTAATTGGTTAGATCAGTGATTGAATCAATAATATAATAATTAAATAAAAAAAATATTAAATATATATAAAAAATTTATAATATATTAATAAAATGACATAATATAACTGTAAATTAATAATATTATAAATTATAATTTTATAACTTATCAAATAGGTATATTTTGATTAAATTAGATATAAATAGACTTATAAAAATATCTGTATTTGTATTTATAATTGTCAATATCTTTATAAAAAATAATCTTAAATCATATTTTATATATGTATATTATCAAAAAATAAATTTGACTTTTAGTAAGATCTAATTTTTAAATTTTTTAATATTATGCTGGAAACAATTTGATTTTTTTAAAAACCATTTCGGTTCTTACTTAACAACAGCTTAACTTCAATTCAATCTAACTTATTTATGAAAACAGTTTTTTTTTTTTTTTCAAACCAAGCCATTAACATCCAACCGTTCGACTATTCGATTGGATTTGGCTTTTAAGTCATTGCTTTATTCCATCACTAGATCATGGGAACAGATTTTTTGGTGACCAAATTGTTCATG